TTTAATATGATTGGATTTAAAGAAAGAGAAAGTTTAGGACCATGGAAAATACCTGATTTTAGTGCTGAATCACAACGTTTTAGAGTAGAACTGAGGAAGAAGCATTACAATAGGTTTAAAGAAGGTACATAGAGAAAAGAATATAATTTTTTAATAGATACATAATCTATTGACCACTAAAATATCTATTTAGATGGAAAGTATTGCTTAATTCCTATGAAAGATTACATCATACTAGACATTAGACAAACAGTCAAGGCAAAAAAATTATATCCCAAAACTTGGTATGTTATACCAAATAATAATTTCACAATTTTGACAATTTTAGAAAAAGGTAATAAATTTAACATATTGATTAAATATAAAAACAAAAATAATGAAAACAACAATGAAAAAAACAATGAAACACTAAAATTATTAAATAAAGGTCAAAATATTATTATTTTTTTAGCAATAAAAATAATCATATTATTATTTGTAATAATTTTTTATAAGTATTGTTTTGTGTTTGTTTTTTCTCGGTTGTATATTAATTTTTAAAAAAATTCAAAAATATGTTGCTTAATTAAATTAGTTTGATGTATATATATATATAATAATAAATAAAATAATATTATTATTCAAATAACTTGTTGCGCAGCTGCGGGACACTATGTAACAATTTAAAAAATGTTTTTCGGATTTTGACGTATTTTTTTATTTTGCAAATCAGGTTTATTATTAGTTATTTATTTAGTTAGTTAGTTAGCGCAAGAAAGAAATTAGTTGGCATTGATACTACGCTTCGTTATCCTTTTTTGTTTAGAGTGTTTTAGAAGCGATAATCATTTGCTGATTTGAATTCTTTTTTTAGAAAAAAAACTCTTTTTGGAAAATCTAAGGTTCTACAATTTTCAACACATTTTTTAATAGCGATAGCAATTTCTTCTCTCTGAAGAGCTCAGCAAGATAGTGAGAGCTATGAGCAGCTAGCGAAAAATCACTGTTTTTTAAACTTAATTTTTTGGGAAGGGATTTTTTGTTTTTGTTGGGTAGTAAATTTCAAAAAATTTTTTTTATTTTTCTGATCTATGTTGAAATTGAAATTTGAATGCCTTGTCCACGTGATAAACGTTTTTTACCATTTATCATGCAAAATAAT